TTTATCCGATTTATATCCCACCCTCCCCGCCAGAGCAGGCTCAGGGCAGCTTACACAGGGTAAAATACATAAGAACCATCAGAATGCCATAAAACATTTAAAAACAGTTCATTAAAACAATATATTAAAGTGCTAGCTATGTTATTTGAGATCATATCAGTGGCGTTACCACTAGGGCTGCCAAGTCCCCCCGGGGGGTGGAAAAAACCCCACCCCAGAGGCCCGTTCCCCGACGCCGGGGAATTGGGCCCTGGGGGGAACCCCGCCCCAGCGTGCACGTCACAGGGAAGTGACGTCATGACGCTGGGCATGCTGGGGGCGGGGCCACGGCCATACAAGGGAAAACTCTATGGTTTTCCCTTGTATGGTCGTGGCCCCACCCCCAAATGTGCCCACGTCCCTGGGACCTGCATGCAGCGCGCGCACGCACCGGGATCCGAACGGGAGTCCCCCGCCGGCAAGGTAAGTGCCACTTGGCAACCCTAGTTACCACAAAAGTGGTCGGTCCACCTCCTGGGACAGTCAGTTTGAAGTAACGCCCCGCCACCCTGTGTCAGAATTCCAAGGGTGCCTGCAGGCTGAAAAAGGTTGGGAACCCGTCTTACAGCATTTCCAATGTACTTTTGTTTTCATTCCAGGTCTAGGACCCAACAGCTTCACCCCAAGGGAAAGTACCAAGGAGGTAAGAAACCCACAGACCAGCAAATAGAAGTCGGATCCTTCTCTAGATCCTAGTTTTATTTATTCGATTTCTGACTTGCTCTCCCCTGCTAACACAGGCCTCAGGACAAGTAACAACAAATTATAATAAAATCATAAATGAATTAAAAACAGTTTTAAAATACTAGTTATTATAAACAGATTACATGTAACAATACAATTTCATAAGGAAAAAAAACTGGTCACGTCAGCACTGGGGGAAGGCCAGAAGGTGGACCCATTAGACAGAGTTCTTATTCTCCATCAAGAACCTCAACCATAGGCCTGGTGGAACAACTCTGTTTTACAGGCCCTGCGGAACTCTTGAAAGGTCCCACATGGCCCGAATCTAGGATTCTAGCCCAAGTTTAGGAATAAACAGATATGGGAAGGGGAAAGGTCAAGGGTGGGAGGGGAGACTGAAGGTGAGAGATGTTCAGGGACAGTGACAAGATCAACCAAAAAAATCCAATAAATTTCCTATGCTGTAAACATTGAATTACCTTTAGTCTCTATAGCTTCATAACTGTTCAGAAGCAAAAGCTGAAAAGGGCAGAGAGGGTAAATAGAAACCGCCTGGTGGGGTTGGCCAGTCGACCCTCTGCACCAAGGACAAAACCCTTTGCATGTGCAGCACATTCTCTATTATTGGACTATCATCCCTTCTCAAAGTGGGGAGCCTTGAACTCTAGATACCATCTCTAGAATGGAAATTCAAACTTCAGACCATCGAAGAGTCTAGCACACTATCAGCTGAGCCATGTGGAGGCGCCACTGTGCCAGGGCTGTCATTAAACCTCCGAGCAACCTAACAGACATTTTATTCCCCCCCCCAATCACATCAAAGGTATGCTTACTGAAAACATTGCAGAACTGAAAGTAGTTCAAATAGCTGACAATATCTTGCACAGAATATGGCCATTCTGCATCCCTCTCCAGATTGTACTCAGGGCAGGTAACCCATTGCCCACTTTTAATTCCATGTTTGAACCTGCCTTGTCTGCTTGTTTAGGCTCTCCTTGGAAACCTCCCCAGGAATGCTTTGCTGAATCGCTTACTGGGCAAGGACCGGAAACGGGGCAGCCTCTCCGAATGCTTCTGGAAATACTGCGTGTAACCCACTGGGAGTGCGTGACTTCACCTTCAGCAAACCACCAGCCTGTTCGGCTCTTTAATTTATGAAGATATTATTGAGGACTGTAGAATTCTGTATACAAAATGACAATAAAAGAAATGTGACATTGGCCCCTCCCCTCCCAACCCTCCTTATTCCTTGGTGTTTGGGAGATGAATAAATCCTGTTTTGTAAAGACCGTGTAAGTGAAGGGTTCTTACCTTGGGTCCAGGCAGGGCAGGCTGAAGACATTCCAAGCAGGAGATATGTTAATCATTTCTCTACCCACTTCTAGCAAGCACTGTATGTTGCCTTTTCCCATGCATCATTTCAATCACCAGTTTCAGTTAAGACTGGTGTTACCGCAAGTCTGCCCATGAGGGAACAGTTTAGTACAAAGGTAAGGTAGACAATGGGCCCACGTGCTCCAGGCTGAACTTTTCCTTTACGCCAGTCGAACCAATATCAGCATGTTTATTCCCCAGCCATGCTCCTTTGCAATGAAGCCAATGTGTAGGGGCACAAACAAGATTGCCTGTCTTCTGAATTCTAATGAATACTGCTACTGGCACTGAGATATGGGTTAGAAGACATTTCAGTGATGCCCATCATCAATCTCCATCTAGCTATCTTGGGCACCATCATCCAATCCTATAAATCACATCCAATTTTGATGCTTCTTAAAAGAAAAGCCAGTTCCAATGATGGGCCCCTATTCCTAAGTCAAGAACATGTTTTTGAGGCCCATCACACATCTTCATGACAGTCAATAAACAAGCTCAGACAGAAACTCAGACAGCTTGACAGAAGAAACTCAGCAAGAAAAGCTTAAGCTTTTTGAATGAAACAAGTGGCTTTTTTTGGTATACGGTCTTGACTTTCCATTTGTTTCTGTAAACTTCCCAGAGAGGTTGTTTGGGTCAAAGCACAGTATTATGCTTCCTATATGCATGTTGGGGTGTGTGATTTCTTGTTTTAGTTTAATGGAATCTTTTTTCTAGTATGAGTTTCATCAGGCTGCTGTTCTATATCGTGAACATACTAACACTGTAACATCAGCGAATGGCTACTTCACCTATTGGTAAAAGAGGGCATTTTCTATACTAGGTAGGGGACAGTAAAGCACCATTTACTTAGAGCTTTTCTGCCTTTCTCCAAGATCACACTCAAGGTGGGTTCAAGGATTAGCATCATCTCACCTTTTCAACCAGCAATGCTGCTGTTATAGTAAGCAATCGGGAAGATGCTTGACTCCTGTCTGCAGGACATCGGTTGAGACTGACAGATCTCCACTCAGAGGGAGTGGCAAGAATGCAAATTCCCCAATCCGAGATCCAGAAGGTTCTGGAAATACGAATTCAGGAACAATAGAGAAAACAAAGGACAGTTCTTTCCACACAAACACTGCAAAGTTTTTTCACCTCATGACATATCACAGTAAAAAAAAAATCTGTGAGTACATTTACCCTCAAGCCAGTGCTCTTTCAGAAGAGCCTAACATCAGCACCAGCCCTTCACAGGCAAACGATTTCTTTAAAAAGAAGTTGTTCTTGTCACAGAAGGGCATCCTGCCTCATGAGGCAGATTTTCATGTGTTGAATATGTCTCTGTTACTTGGAAGGGGGGGGGGAGTGCCTTGCCTTTATAATAGCTTCCATTACTTTGAAATGCTTAAGAGATTGATAATCTACTGCCTTGTACTTCAGGAGTGCCCAGCAGCTCAACAATACAGCCCAGAAATGTTTTTTCGCTGATTTTATTAAAAAGAGAAAACGAAATCAACACACAGAACAAGACAACTTTTAAAATACACATTAAAATACATCATATAAACATGTCTGCCAATAGCCGGCTTGTAAATCCAAACTAAAAGGTTTCATTTGAAAGTGCATTCCAAGTGACTGATTGGAATAAAGGTTATCCTAATACGGGCAAAGTACCCTCCTCTTCCTAATGAACGATAACCCCCACCCTCAGTGGTAGCTTCACCATCAGATAGCACCATTTGAATATCAAGTTATATGCATGACGATCCAAGGCCAGACCCCTGTACTTCTGCTGATCTGATCCACCAGGATGTTCTCCTTTGCAAGCTCCATTGATAGAGTGTGAATTGGCAGTGGATTTACTCCCCCTTCACAGCAGCCCAAATTGGCCTAGGCAGCTGCCTCCCCATGATTCTTTGTGGAGCCCTTCGCTCCATCTTCCCAATTTATTGAGGCCTCCATGGTGAGCAGGAAGCACATCAGTGCCGCACATAAAGTCAGTGGTAGCTTCACCATCAGATAGCACCCTTTGAATATCAAGTTATATGCATGATGATCCAAGACCAGCCCCCTGTACTTCTGCTGATCTGATACACCAGGATGTTCTCCTTGGCAAGCTCCACTGATAAGAGTGTGAATTGGCAGTGGATTTACTCCCCCTTTGCAGCAGCCCAAATTGGCTGAGGCAGCTGCCTCCCCATGACTCTTTGCGGAGCCCTTCGCTCCATCTTCCCAAAGTGGCACTAAGCGGTGCTACCTGTGCAAAGCCAAGAGGTAAAAAGATGCCACACCACTACACCAAACTGGCTCTCAAAGTGGAACTAAATTGGCACTAAGCGGTGGTACCTGTGCAAAGCCAAGAGGTAAAAAGATGCCACACAGCTCTAGCAAGCTGTGAAGGACCACCTTGAGCAACAGACACTTGCGGCAGACCATCCCACTTAGCAGTCTCATATCTTCAGGTCAGTTCCGCCGTAAAGGAACAGGTTCCGTCACTGCTAGAGTTACAGACCTCACAAGACGCTGGTATTTCTCAGGAAGAGCCTCCATTAGACAAATTCTTGCCCCAGTCTTATTCAGCTAAGGCAGAGTTTCAGAATTAACAGTGGGGCAAGGAATGGTCCCACAGAGCGTAACCAATTAGCCTCGAGCTAAGGCAGAGTTTCAGAATTAACAGTAACAGAGAGTAACCAATTAGCCTAGCACTGCACTGCTTTATTCTGTATGATGCATGTATTAGGCTGTGTGTGTACAGGGCTCAGGAACCTTTTTAGACATGAATTGAGTACAGAGTGGGGAAACACTCTTATTTTTTCCTCCCCAGACATGGTAGGTCAGGTCAGTGCTACAGCAGTAGGATAATCAGCACTACTTATCCTCTTGCTCCCGCTTAAACACAGGGCAGCCTAACCAGTTCGTATGACTGTTCTTAATAAATTTGATTTGAACCTGGTTTGATTTGAACCAGGGGGCTGGCCAGTTCTAGTCTAGATAAAGAATACAAGCATGGAACAAAGCGTGCTTAGAGCCAAGAGGGAAGCGAACAACTGAGTGAGCTTTCACCCTGGCATATAATAACTACGGGCACAAAGAATGCTTCAGTTTAGGGCAGTTTGGAGCTGGATGGAAAAAGGTACTTGGGCTACCCAGCCTTTTGTGGCAATGCTGTACAAGCTGAGGTGAGCATCAGCTATTAATTTATAGCATGTGCTTCACTGTACCACCCTGAACATGTAACCAAATATTATTTATGACAGTTTCAAATTGGAAAAAAGCTGGAAGAGGGAAAAAGTGACTTTGGAATCCGTCTGTTGCCAAGTCGAGGGGAAACACTGTGGGGCACCCAGCATCCAAAGGCTAAGGTCACTGTCAGTGATGCAGGCATACTGCAACGGAGGTATTCTTTGCCACCTTTCTGTTAGGTATCTTCATCAATAGGTGCGACAACCTTGCAGCTGGTATTCCTGCTATCACATGTGATACAGCCCTAAGAAGGAAAAAATAATAATATCACAAATATTCAAGGGCAAGAGAAGAGCCCAGTGGGACTGGACCACAGATCTGCCTAGGCCACCATTCTGTTTCCATCGGCACCATACCAGATCTTCTCCAAAGATCGGGGTTCCCTTAAGGGCAAGGGAAGACAGAGCCACTGGGAAGAGGTTTTACACACCACTCTCTTCTCTCCCATGTCAAGAAAAGTGCTTGTACACTTATATCTACTTTATCCCAAGGCAGGGTAACAACGTTCTAAAGCAAATACAATCATACCAAGTGCCAAAATTACAGCTAATCCCCGCTATTCAAAAGGTTAGACTTTAAAAGATTCAGTCTAGATTCTGGAATTCCTTTACTTATAAGAACCAAACAAAATGCAGTCCTTGTGAACTGTTACAGTCACTAAAAATGACTGTACAAAAATCCAGATTTGCTTACTTGCATGTTTATTTCTTGTGGGATAGTCTGGGTGCGAATCCACGGATGCGCCTCAGCCAGCTCCTCCTTCTGCCCTTTCGTGAACCGGGGCTGTTGCTTAGTCATGGCAGCCAGCCTTTCCAGGTCCCCTTTCAACACTTCCTCTTTAATCCTGCAAGTTACAAGAGCAGGGACACCACATGTGGCTGGGATTCTAAATGAATCACTTCCTACAATGCATTTTGCATGAAGGATCCATCACTAACAAGCTGGTCAGATAAAGTGTCAGCACCCTGCTTCTCTTCCGGAAATGCAAAATCTCAGATTAACGTTACACAGAAATAGGTATAATTATATTGCAACAGATGTATCCATTTTCTGACAAAACCAAAAGAGGGGGGGGATTTACTGGAGAGGTAAAGCAAGGGGAGCAATGTACTTAACCCCTTCCCAGGCCTCATCTCATCTCTGCTCCAGATCACCTGCCCTCTGAGGAGGCTTTTCTCATAAGGAAAAAAAAAGACGTCAGGGTTTTTTAGTTAGTCCCAAGTTTCCCTGGCAATAACATAGAGATGTTTTGGGGACATCGTCCTCCTCTCGAGGTAAGACTAGCTCAAGCATTAGGAGGAACTGCATGTGACGGCATATACAAGAACTGCTGTTCTGACTCCAGCCACCAAGACTTGGCAATTCCCTTCACTTAAAGCAGAGCTGCTCATGTTTCCCACATCCATCCAACTACTACCCAGTAAGCAATCTAGATTTGGCATGAAACTTGGTTTCCTGAAAAGACTGTGAGGGAAGGGAAGCCCTACACAACCCCTCTAGGACTCCAGTCAATTTGTCAAGCCCTTTTAAATGAAGTTCTGCATTTTCCAAACGTATGCACAGTATCATATTCAACAAGCTCTGGTAAAGTTATGCCAGCGTGTGCTTCTTAAATAAAAGGGTGGATGGAACATCTTTCAGGGAATTTGGCATCTGTTCCTCAGTCATAAACCTCAGATCAATTTCCATAAAAGCTGCCAAAAGCCCGCTTTTAAAGCCAATTTCAACACTAAACTAAGCAACAATTCCTCTCTTCTCCCTTTGCCCCCCCCAATCAACAGTGAGTGAGCCTCCTCTGTGCATTACTAACCATGCTGCTTTCTTAAAGCAACCAGACATCTGGATGTGCCAAATTCTGGGAAGCGGCAAAACAAAAAGGTATTTCCCCTCAGCACTTTGCTACTTGGGAAGTCATCAGGACTGGCTCGGGCAAACAACTATCCTCCACACCAACCTGGTTGGCTGACAAGATTCTCCTTGTCTGGCTTCCTCTCCGCTTCTCTTCCCTCTTTTGGAGACTTCAGAGGAATCACTGCTGGCAAAATATTTGCTGCTGTTTCCACTGCCTGCTAAAAACGCCCACAAAGGTAAGGTGGATTTTTTTTTAAAAAGAGAGCTAGATTAGAGTCTCAGAGCACCTTAGAGACCAACAAGATTTTTGGGGGTATGAGCTCTTGAGAGTCAAAGCTCCCTTTGTCAGAGTGTTAACTCTCAAACGCTTAAACCCTGAAAATCTTGGTGGTCGCTAAGGTGCTACCGGACTCTAATATAGATCTTATGCTGAAAACCAACATGCCTCCTCTACCAAAACTATAAAAAAGGTTTCAGCAGAAGCCAGAACCGAAGGACGGGGAACAGTCACATGCCTGCTTCTGGTGGTTAGTCCCTTTGGCCCAAGCACAAACGTTTCTCTTCCCGAGGATTACTGGGCTCCCTGATATATACCCCAATAAAGGCCACTCAAACATTACAGAAGGGTCTTGGGTGCTGCTTCTTGGAGCTTTCTTCCAATTGCTGTTCTGATAAGGTATCGATACAAGATCCTTCCCACAGTGTGATTCCTGCATCCAAAACAAAGCTCGGCAGATTGAATGGGTGGATTTGTAGGCTGTCCCTGCCAAGGGGCATAAGGTGGAATGGAGAGCTAGGAAAAAAGGCCAGAAGGCCACTAGGATTCATGGCAAACTATACCAACTCAAGGGGACTACAACATCGACAGCAGCCAACTTTTGTAACATCTGTGCTACCAGTCAAGTCCAGAGCAGGAGATGTGCTGTGACAATGTGGTGGTACTCCTGCAGTCTATGTATGCCTTGGGGTGGTTTTACTTGCAGTCTACCAAGCCAAGAAGTGGGCTGCGGTACAGCACAGAAAACAGTAGGATCCTCTATTACAGCTCACAAGTCCTCCTTTTCTTGTCTTGTGTAAGAGGCTGGCCCTGTGTAACAGGCTGGCTACGGAGCCCAAGAAACAGGCAGCCAGTGTTTCAAAACAAACTACTGAAGATTACGGGCATGCTGAACTGCCCGTGCCTACATAAAACGTATGCCACCCACTAACTTCTGTAACAAACAATGCCATTGTTCCCATTTCCAAATTCTCATTCCCTTTCACGGCTTCAATATTTAAGCAGCAAGGTAACATCAAGCTTCCCTATCAAAGCTGCCCTACCTGTGCCACAGGCAGATGTTCCATTGGAGCTAGAGCCATTAGAGCCAGAGACTAA